TGATAGTACCAAAAATTTATGATCGGGTATTTCTGGGTCTGAAAGTTATTCGGACACAGAATAACGTGCAGCCAAGTGTGGGAACTACAGTAGAATGTAGCTTAGGCAGTCCTTAAATTTTTTTATGGGAAAGCTGTGGAGAATATGTGAGATCAACTCGAAGGATATCTAAGGTTATTTTTACTTGTCAGTAGGTCAGTAGATTTGGAATAAAAAATGATACGGTGTTGAAGATTCTGTGGAAAGAGATTGGAGAGGAATGAGCTTCGTGAGAGGGTAGTCATAATCTACTCTTAGTTATGAGTGGTTTGATCACAGACCTCTCTGAAACAAGCCCACTACAAGAGCCTCCACTTTCGGAGGGAGGAAAGGGTAGTAGAGAGCCAAAATTTACTAAATGAATACATGTAAAGTCGTATTCAACTAAATAGTGGATTAGATCGGAAAACATACCACGTAGTTACAAAATAATAGGTGATCAGACGTGCGTGATGCAGACGGCAGCAAATCCAATCATTGGACAGTGGACATATCATACAAGCATTCAAGGAGCCAGTAATCGAGGCTACTGATGTCCAGTAACCCTAGGGTCTCATCGTAAATCATATCTTTATACCGAGATATAGTTTTCATGCGGTGCATCTTTGAGCTTTCCCACTTTACTCGGATCTGCAGTTTTTTACTGGAATAGTTTACATAAATTTCATTTTCATGATAATACAGATGAATCTCGCATTGCCCTCGTTCATGAGAACTCCACTGCCAATAGAAGATGTGGTTGATATAGTTTCTGTCATGTAATTTTCAGGGTAAACAGCCTTTAAGAGGAAAAGTGTAGCTGCTTCTTGAGTTTCTATTTACATTTTCCATTTATTACTAATACTCATTTGTTCCGAAGAATAGAAGAATAATCTCTTAATTAATGGCGACTGACCTTTAATTTCGGACCCAAGACCAACACCCCTGCTGAAAAAATAACCTTATTCTATGAAATATTTTGTGAAGAAGATTTTGTGAATATTTCTGAGTCGCGGTTGAGCCGTGTCACAAGACGCGTTCGTGCTGCGCGGGCTCACAGCTTGCCTTTTCACTATGCGGTTGAATTGTATTAACGCATTTTGTATTGAAACGTCTCATTGAAAAGACTTGAAGTAAAGTCAGTGAAAGAGAATGCAAACAAAGAGTGGAAGCAAGTAAAAAGCGGTTCCCTGTTTTTCAAGCTGAAAAAGAGGGTAAAGCTAGAGAGTGAGGGCACATTGTGACGAAGATAGGCGAAGAGCCTTTCTGTTAAAGCCTACTCTCTCAAACCGAGCTCCGTCAACTTCACCATTGCCCCTACGTCACCTCTACGCTGCCCGCCGTCTAGGGACCTTTATCCAGCCCCTCACCCTTTCAACCCCTATGTCGCTAGCCCTTCATTCCCTCAGCCACCCCTCTCCCCTCGCTCAGCTGTTCATTTGAGTCCTTTTGCTCAGCTGGAGTCGTAATTTTTGCCGGAACTTTAACCCTACTCGAGTCAATTCACTTTTAAAATTGTGTGTTCTCCGTGCATTGTACGATGGCTGGACAGAGAAAAAAAAGGTAGTCGAAAAGCATGCTATTTCTGCTAGACAAAAGGCTAAAATCAAATCAGCTCTAAGTTAGAGATGAATGTTTGCAAACACTGCAAAGAGATCTCTGTGAGCGAGGCAGATCAGACGGTCATCTGTGAACGCTGCGAAGACTTCTTTGTATCAGCTGTTCGAAGTTGAGCTCTGACGAATACTTGTTTCTCCAGAAAACTAAATTACTTCATTGGTTTTGTCGTGACTTCAAAGAAACAACTCTTGGCATTCGAAAAAATGAAAAGCCGGTAGAAGAGCAAGGCAATGAGACGAAATCGCTGAATGATGTAGTGAACGCCTTGAGTGAGATAGTGCGCTCGCTGAGTGACAAATTGAGCTCGCTTTGCAATGAGCTGACTGAAGTGAAGGCTCAGCTGAAAAATACGGAAAATTTTGAGGTAAAGACTCAAAGAGTTGATTTATCCGAAGTTGCAAGCGAAAGCTCCCGCGAGTTACTTGACAGAGAACGTAGGAAGTCCAACTTGGTTTGGTTTGTAGTTCCCGAGAGTTCCGCATCTGATTCGAAGGACCGAGTGATGGCTGATACGAAATTTATTGAGGAATGCTGTAGCAAGGCACTCAGCCCACCGGTTGATATTAAATCGTGCAAGAGGCTACGCTCAAAGAATGCTGCTGCCAACACATGCAGACCGTTGTTGGTGACTGTAAAGGATCCTGCACAGGTTAGAAGCGTGCTGAAGGCATCGAGAAAGCTTGGAGAATCTCCTGAGTATAACTAAGTTTGGTAAAGAGTGATTTCACCCCTTTAGAGAGAGAGGATTTTCGCAAGAAATGGCAGGATGAAATCAGGCGGAAAATCACGGAAAATCAGTCAACCATTCTGGCAATATCAAGACAACACCGGCCGCACACGATCAGTTAGCTGAGCTGGAAGACAAGTAAACAGTAGAAGTCATGTCCACAGTTCCAGACCTGTGAGTAATGTAAGAAGCAACCGCGTAAATCAAAGTGAAAGTGCACAAAAAGTTTTAAAGTGTTGTTACGTAACCTCGGATTCCGTTTTGAACAAAAAAATGTGAACTGTTAACTGTGATCGCAAACGAATGTATAGACATTATTTGTATCACAGAAACACTCCCTAAAAATCACGGGGGAAAATTGTACCTGATGAATTTCAGTTGCCAGGGTTCGATTGTTTTCATAACTTAAATGAAGAGCAATGCAGAAGAGGTGTAGCTCTGTGGGTTAGAGCCCCTTATGGGGCTCAGCAAGTTAAATTATCTTCAGAGCATCAATCAGCTAGAGAATCAGTGTGGTGCGAACTTACTTTAAAAGGCAAGGATAGCCTCCTCATATGGGTCCTGTATAGATCACCTAACAGCTCCTCTGATAACGATAAAGTACTAAACCGCCTTTTACCGAGCATGACTTTAAGCAGGTCACATACATTGATTGTTCGTGACTTAAACCATCCAGAAATAGACTGGGCAGATGAATCTTCTCCAAGAGATGGGAATCACCCAGCATCCCTGTTCTTGGAGTCTGTGCGAGACTCATTTTTAATCCAGAACATCACCAAGCCAACCCATTTTAGGGGTAAACAGACCCCAAATATTCTAGATCTTGTGTTTACNGGCTGCCCTGGAGTGGGGCTATCTGCCCTGGAGTGGAGCTATCTGCCCTGGAGTGGGGCTGGCTGCCCTGGAGTGGGGCTGGCTGCCCTGGAGTGGGGCTATTTGCCCCGGAGTGGGGCTGTCTGCCCTGGAGTGGGGCTATCTGCCCTGGAGTGTGGCTTTCTGCCCTGGAGTGGGGCTATCTGCCCTGGAGTGGGGCTTTCTGCCCTAGAGTGGTGCTCTCCACCCCGGTGTGGTCTCCACTTTGGTGGCCCCGTTCTGTAGCCCATCAGCCATTGAGAAATCTTGAGTTTTTTTTTCAAGACACCCAATTTTGTACAAGAAAACATAATTCAGTCAAGTTCCTTCAACTGTTCTGACATGGGGCCACATTGAACCAGTCTTCAGAGGCTCCCATAAATTCCAATTAAAGAAAGAAAAGCCCCGGCAACTATCGCCCTGTCAGTCTGACAAGTGTTGTTGTAAGCTAATGGAATCTGTTGTGAAGGATAGGATTATCGATCACTCGACTGTTCACCATCTCCTATCAGATTGTCAACATGGTTTTATTGCCGGTAGATCCTACACCACTAACTTATTATCTACGTTGAACGATTCGACTCGCCTGCGGGACGAAAGGTAGCAAGTGGTCCTTACAGTTTAGTTAAATGGGCTGATCCGTGGCAGCTGCGGTTTAATGCTGACAAGTGTAAAGTACTCCACCTCGGGAAGAACAATGAACAGCAAGATAACAGTATGAGAAGACATGGTTGCAACGAGAGAGTAATGATAGAAAAGTTTAGTGTGGAAAAAGATCTCGGAGTTTATGTCGACAAAGAGCTGAAATTTTCTAAGCATGTTGAAACGCAAGCTTACACATCCAACAAATTTCTTGGACTAATCAGACGCTCATTCGAGTTCCTAGATGCAGAAGCAATGAAGCAGTTGTTTGTTGCTGTCGTGCGCCCGAATCTAGAATTTGGTAGTGTTATGTGGTCACCGAGATTTGAAAAGGATAAAATTCTAATAGAGAATGTTCAGACGTGCAACAAGGATAATTCTAGGCTTGAAGGGCAAGTCCTATGGAGAAAGATTAAGGATTACGAAGCTTTCAAGCCTCAGCTATCGACGTCTGCGTGGAGACCTCATATTGAAGTATACAAGTATACGCATGGTTTATACAAGGTCCCCGAAGGATTACTAGAATTTGAAACAGGAACCAACACCAGGGGCCACGACTATAAACTAAAAAAACTGCGCTGCAACTTATCCACGCGACAACAATTCTTCTCGCTTCGACTCACCGACATGTGGAATAGCCTCCCCAATGACACCGTTGCATGGCGATCCAAGTATGAACGCGTTCAAGAACAGACTAGATAAAGCTATGGAAAAATATATGTTCAGATTTGAAATGCCTTGCACCATATCGAACCCGGTGGAAGTCTAGTAGCTATTTCAAACTATCGTCAGTCCTGAAAAGATCCGCTCAAATGACACGATTTTAGATCTTCTGTGAACAAGTCACGAAAAGAAAGAATCGCCGGCAGTCCACATCAGGCCTACTCTTCAGCGCCGACATCGATATGTTATGTTATGTTAACATTCAACAAGCAAGAGAACCCGATTATGCACATCGCACAATGAATAAATTGAATTAAGGATAGCAAGTCATTCCTTTTTTAACTTGCGATGAATTTTTAACACTATTAAATTAAATGTAGGAATATAATCTTGTCTTTGCTAAACAAACATAATTTTTTCGAATAATCAACATCAACATCATCGATAATAATAGTTTTCTCGAGAGTGAAATACAAAATAAACAGTGAAAAACATTTTATTGCTGTTGTTCTATCACAGTCTTATAAATGATGGTTTATTGAATAGTCCCCAACAGAGTAGTGAACAAGGAGAGACCGGCCGTAAAATTTGTCCGAGACGTCTCCATGGCGAGATCGCGCAAAACTGAGCAAACTACTCAGATAAGTCGGTACCGTGTGGACGCTCTAAAAATTGCAACGATTTCATTCCGACTTAAAACTGCGCAGACAAATCGTTGTGAAAACTGAGCGTGTGGACCGGGCTTAAGAGACGGACACTTCGAGTGCGTTAGGAGACACGTGGTGTAGTGAACCAGGCTGGCGAGATTAGTTGCACATCAGAGACGGACACTTCGAGTGAGTGAGGGGACACGTCTTCCGTGCAATGATATCCACCAAGCTGCCTTCTTCTACGGGAATGGCCTTGGTGTGCGAGTTGTAAAGTTCGAAGGTGAAGGTGCCCGGAAAAATCTGTTGAGACAAAAGGTAATATTAGCTTATTCGATGGTCGCTGTTATTGACACCTCGCCGACCTCGGGTGAATTGCGCCTCGTTTGTACGCTGACACACGTGGTTCGCAGCAGTCGCGTTGTATATAGCAGTACACAAAATGCAAATGAAACAGTAATTGAAATCAAAATTAACTAAAAATTTTTAATAAAACCAAATGAATCTGATCAGCAAGTGCTAGGCTGTAACGACTAGAACGACAGAAGATATAATTGCTTCTATGTACTTTATGGATTCTTAAGAACTTAATGTTAAAAAACCATAAAACATTCCAAAAATTATTGGTTAAATGCGAAAACTACTGCTGCATTCCCAGAATTAAAAACTGGAAACATGATTCACTCATTTTTGACACATTTACTCGCAACTACAAGGCGTCAGTTCTCAAGTAAAATGAATAACACAGCAGTGACAAATGTACTACTCTACAAGTACATTTTGAAGAGTAGTGTTCTTGAGACATCGGAACTTACGTTATCTTCAGGTCCCACCAACGTCTTGTTACGACTGAACAACGAGTGGGAGTTCATGAAATGGATGGGCTGGTGAGCAGTCTTCCCGAAGATATCATGAACGCAGTCGGACGAATAATCTTCACGGTCGTGATGATAGTTTAAGGTTTCGATATTGCCTGAAAAATTGTCAATGTAACGATTCGACCCATTCGACGTGCCGTCACTCCTGGCTAAATCTGGAAAAAAATAAATAAAATCGGGCGGATATTTGTAATTCTGTAATCTATAGTTGTTTCGGTGGTGGTATGGTGCCACTTAAAAGTTAAGGGAAGGAAGGTAACAGAGTGGCCAGAGAGAAGAGGAGAAAATTAAATGACAGGAGGAAATAAGAAGGCGCCATGTGAATTTTTAAATTTGTTGCGTTTTGAGGTATAATCGTGGGGGCAGGGGAGTAGGAGGTAATTTGTCAAGGGTTCGCAACGGCTGGTCTAAAGGGCGACGTAGGCATTTGAAGGCTCATTTTTTCTCAATTTTAATGAATGCTGATATAATAGGGTGATAACGGTGATGGTGATTGTTGATGATTCGCTCCAAATTTGGGAGTTAGATTTGGCGAGTCAGTTGTTGCTGGGTTGTTAGTTTCGCATTTACCGTTAGTCACTCTCAAGTTCATCACTAATCATTCGGTTCATTCAATAGCTGACGGGGGTTGCACATTGCTCACTGTGTGTTAGAATGGTGATAACGTGTACTGGTTTGGAGGTGGGGACATAATGCTAATATTTTGGAGCAATGGAATAACTGGTCTCTCTATGGAAGGAATTTGAGTTGATTGAAGTATTGGGGGTCGTTTGATTTTTCGTGAATGTTTGTGAGGATATGAAATCCGACCAGTGCGTGTTTATGATTAATATTAGTGCTTTATTAAAGTGCCCAAGTTCATTAGTACTCTGCAGTTGAGATATTGCTGTTTCGAAAAGAGTGAGTAGGGTATTCAGGAGGGTATATATGAGGGACGATCTAACATACTCGTATGTGAAGTATAGGATGAGTTTTATGTAATAGAGATATTGCTGTTTCGAAAAGAGTGAGTAGGGTATTCAGGAGGGTGTATATGAGGGACGATCTAACATACTCGTATGTGAAGTATAGGATGAGTTTTATGTAATAGGGAGGGAGTAGAATCTGTGAATTTTCTGTAAATTTGCGAGGGCAATTGCTTTCTGACTGTTACTTGGGGCCTAAAACAATGTGATGAAAATTTTAATCCTAAGAGCGTTCCGTTGTTTATGTATGCATGGGTATAGTGGGTGTTGTTGATGTTGTCGATAATCAAGTCAGAAGTATTTCGTCAACACGACGTGCCGTCACTCCTGGCTAAATCTGAAAAAAAAAAATAAATAAAATCGGGCGGATATTTGTAATTCTGTAATCTATAGTTGTTTCGGTGGTGGTATGGTGCCACTTAAAAGTTAAGGGAAGGAAGGTAACAGAGTGGCCAGAGAGAAGAGGAGAAAATTAAATGACAGGAGGAAATAAGAAGGCGCCATGTGAATTTTTAAATTTTTTGAGGCGTTTTGAGGTATAGTCGTGGTGGCAGTGGAGTAGGAGGTAATTTGTCAAGGGTTCGCAACGGCTGGTCTAAAGGGCGATGTAGGCATTTGAAGGCTCATTTTTTCTCAATTTTAATGAATGCTGATATAATAGGGTGATAACGGTGATGGTGATTGTTGATGATTCGCTCCAAATTTGGGAGTTAGATTTGGCGAGTCAGTTGTTGCTGGGTTGTTAGTTTCGCATTTACCGTTAGTCACTCTCAAGTTCATCACTAATCATTCGGTTCATTCAATAGCTGACGGGGGTTGCACATTGCTCACTGTGTGTTAGAATGGTGATAACGTGTACTGGTTTGGAGGTGGGGACATAATGCTAATATTTTGGAGCAATGGAATAACTGGTCTCTCTATGGAAGGAATTTGAGTTGATTGAAGTATTGGGGGTCGTTTGATTTTTCGTGAATGTTTGTGAGGATATGAAATCCGACCAGTGCGTGTTTATGATTAATATTAGTGCTTTATTAAAGTGCCCAAGTTCATTAGTACTCTGCAGTTGAGATATTGCTGTTTCGAAAAGAGTGAGTAGGGTATTCAGGAGGGTATATATGAGGGACGATCTAACATACTCGTATGTGAAGTATAGGATGAGTTTTATGTAATAGAGATATTGCTGTTTCGAAAAGAGTGAGTAGGGTATTCAGGAGGGTGTATATGAGGGACGATCTAACATACTCGTATGTGAAGTATAGGATGAGTTTTATGTAATAGGGAGGGAGTAGAATCTGTGAATTTTCTGTAAATTTGCGAGGGCAATTGCTTTCTGACTGTTACTTGGGGCCTAAAACAATGTGATGAAAATTTTAATCCTAAGAGCGTTCCGTTGTTTATGTATGCATGGGTATAGTGGGTGTTGTTGATGTTGTCGATAATCAAGTCAGAAGTATTTCGTCAACGAATAAGGATAATTTAAAACTAGTGTTCGTCCTTATGAGCCATTGATTTTCGAAGGTGTTGATCTGTTGTAAGACATGTTGTGTTTGAAGTGCTGCACAGTTGTGTGGGCACTATCTTTAGGTTGTGGTGTGTCATATGCAAAGGCTATGTATTGTAGCACTGTATTAGGGGTTGGTGGTGGGAGCTTGTGGACATAAAATCTGTATAGATTTAGGAAGATGTAAGCCCCGTGGGTCACCTGTGTTTAGTTGCAGTGGAAGTCCTATCTGATTGGTACTACTGTGCCTGTGAGGAAGGCTGAAAGAGTTTTTATGAAGGACGGTTATATTTCTATGTCTACTATGTCATGGTCTATGTCAGTGGTTCCCAAACTTTTTCAGGCTGGCGCACCCTTTGGCTCCCTAGTGAATTTCTAGCGCCCCCCACAGACATACGCCTCTTTCTTGAAATTTAGTATGCTGCAATTTTAAAAGATAAAGGTTAAACACAAATGTGTAGTTCACAAATAAAACCCATTTAGTGAACCGATATGTTTTTCAGCTGTTTTAACTGTTTCAGCACTAGAAACCTAGGATATCTCGGGCGAATTTACGGCCGGACTGATGGCCGATCTCACGACCAATCTCCAAATTCAATTGTCAAGTAATATATCCCAAACTAATGAACGCAGCTCTATGAAACTTGGAACACGTATTCATCGGAACCTAACGGTGGTGTTTAGCTCGTAATTTTTTTTCCTTATTTTACCTTCATTCGTGAGTTACGCGCACATTGCGAAGCAGGCCGAAATTCGCAGTGATCAAAGAATTTCTTCCAAACTATTGAACAGTTTTGAACAGAAATTTGAATATACATTCCTAACTATCAAACAGTGATTTTTTAGCTTATAAAATTTTTTCGATTTTACCTTTGTTTGCTAGTTTTTTTTCATTTCACAGTCATTCTTGATTTCACACTTCCTTATATTCGGGACGTATCGCCTGGTAATTTGTCACTTAAATTCGCGGCGATCAAGAAATTTCTTCTAAACTACATAACAGATTCAAAGAAGGTTTGTATATTAATACCTAACCTCTCAATGGTGATGTTTAATTCGTGACAGTTTTTATTTTGCTTTCGTTCGCGAGTTATACAGATATAGGACGAACGACCGGCTTTTCTACCGGCCGGTTTAACCGAGAGCCTTATACGTATAGCCGTAGAACTCGCAAACGAAGGCAAAACGAAAAAATTGTAAACATTACCGTTGCTGAGGTTAGGTATAATTCCGGGCAAGAAATTTCTTCTAAACTACATAACAGATTCAAAGAAGGTTTGTATATTAATACCTAACCTCTCAATGGTGATGTTTAACTCGTGACAGTTTTACGTGCCTCTCTGCGCCAATCTTGGTACTCTGAACTGAAACCACTACGCCACCCTGCCATATAACAATGGCAAAAACAAACGATGGCAAAATTCAAACAATTTTCATGAGCAAAACATTATCATTAGGTCCTAATGACTACGTGTACCAAGTTTCATCAAGTTAAGTTCATTAGTTTGAGAGATATTCCTTGATCATTTAATTTGAAAATTGGCCGTGAGACCGGCCGCGAGTCCGACCGTTAGTTTGTCCGAGACGTAAACCCAGGAGAAGTTAAAAAAACAGATCTGGGTGAAAAAACCATCACTGGGAGTCATGTGCTGCATGTGTTGTGTACAAATCGTTGAACAAACGTTCGACGTTCGAACTTCTGACTATCGCCCCCCTTATCGCCCCCATATCGCCCTCTTCTTCCTTACCGCCCCCCAAAATCTTTCCAGCGCCCCTAGGGGGGCGATATCGCCCACTTTGGGAGCCACTGGTCTATGTGGTTTTAGATGTTTGCAAGAGTGAATATGTTGTTGTACAAGTGGCGCACGTTTTATTGTATTATCTTTAGTGTGGACTGGGTGGTCCACACTAAAATTATTTGAATGTAGTGCGGAGGGTATTTGCGGAGGGTATTTGAATGTAGAGTGTTATGCTTTTTGGTGGTCGTTGTTGGGAGTTTGTCAATACATATGAAGGTATCGTGAGTAATGATTTTTATCAGTGGATGGTGTGTTATATGTCTTTCACATTTTAGCTAGTCGAGTACTTTCGAAGAGTCTCCGTCCTGCACCGAGCGCTTCAGCCTGTATTATTTCTTTCTCAGTTAATCGGCAAACTAAACGTTATGTGGCTCTTTTTGGGTCTTTTATGCTCCTAAATAGCTTGATGGAGATCGACTCGATCGTCAAGTGATATACGGGACCAGAGATTAATGGTTCTTTGTATTGTTCGTTTTTATAGGGTGACGGTCTTCGTTATGAGATATGGCTATACATGAGGGGAAGGAGAGAGCAGACATAAGTGATATTGTACCCTAATTCTGTACTTCTGCAGGCGCGCTTCATCAATATGTTGCGTACCATACTCGTTTCTACGTTACATCAATTCATATTTAATGTCATTCTCAAATCTGCCTATGTTCCCTGAAGAAACCCAATACGACAACAGTCACTTCACAGTCCCGCAATGTTTAAACCAAAAACACACCGTAGACCCAAAAACAACAGTCCAAACCTATATCTTAACTTTCAAGCAAACCTTAACTTCGAGCATTGTCATCATCACCTTTACTATCATATCATATTTAAATATATACAAAATATATACTTTATATACCTAAAACAATACAAAAAAAATATTGAATAATAACAATAAATAAAAAAGGGGGAAAGAGTACAATCAAGGAAACCCGCTATTACAATTTAATGATAACTAAGGCAAAATTGACTTACATTTCTCACCATTGCGTGACGATTCACATGGGCCGATATGGTCATCAGGTGCAGGGTAGCGTTCTGGTGCATTGTGGGGGAGTAGGAACCTGTAGGCGCACTCGTCGCTCAGTAAAAACCTTACGACAGCATGCGGGCCTAGTGATGCATACACTAGTCTCTGAAAAAGTAACCGAAGTTTAATGTTATTCCGCCAAAAATTTATGGCTAAACGTATGAGGCCTGTTATGTAATCAGAAGTGTGTTTATATCTACAAAGATGATGTAATTTCCTAGATACAATGAACTGCATCGCTACTTTGCTGATGATATAAAATCAATTTAAAATCCGAGAAAATTTCTTTTCGCAGCCAACTTGGCAACAAGCACCAGTAAAAATTAAAGGAATGAAAACCCTCTCGCTAATAATTTAATTATACTGCGATCAAAGTGAAAGAATTAGATGACTAGATTATGAGCATAGAGTCCAAAAAACTAATTAAGACGTTTATAAAATTGACTGTGTAACTTTTCAAGTAAATTGAAAAACGAAATAAGCTTTAGTGTAAAACTACCTCTGAAACTTTACCCAACAAATTTCCTATGGATCCATAGTTCAGAATGAAATTTATCAGAATTAAATGCTTGCTACTGATATAAAATGAATTTGTATTTCTACAAATTTTGTATAGTGCCCGAGTAGTTCATTAAAATTTATTGCTCAGAATAAAATTTTTGCAGCTCCACGCACCCAACTTAAAATGTAGAGAACTATTGTCTGGTGGTTCATAAAATATTCAACAAACTTCAAAATCTGAAGAAAATTTCTAGCGATACAAAAAATACTGTCTGACGGGAGCTCACACATGTCACTGGCGAGAATGTGTCCGATACAAATTGTAAGAACCTCATCGGCGTTGGATGGTAGCGCTCGAAATGGAACAATGAATTTGTCGTGGTATGAATCTCGTTGCCCTGTGCAAAAAAAAAAATAAACATAATAAACTCTTTTAGGAAACATGTTAACTAGCACTAACCGCGTCGTATAACATCCTGTTTTTGACTGGAAACGTGATATGCAGAAGCAAATTAACTAAGAAAAAATCAATAATGGAAACCGGAACGAACGTGCGCTACCCCTATGAACCTCGGTATTAAGAAAAATGTGAAAGCACATGTGCCAACTAGAGTTTATTTGCTATTCGATCACACTCTTTACCATTGAAATAGCTGTATTCTATTCTTTGCTTTGATTCCAATTTTAGCGATTGCAGTTATCTCAGTTGCACATTTTATACATAAAAAGTCGACTTACGAGACTGAATTTAGGTTCTCTCATTTGGATTCTCATCTTAAGTAAACTGATAGAATATTGCGATTGTGATCAATAAATTTGTGATGGGATTAACGTCATAGATTTATCGAGATACTTGCGATTTCATTTAACAACCACAACCCATGCACTCACTTGAGCGGTGAAAAAGTTTTTGGATGAATTTTTAAATGGTCGCAGGGCCAAGATGTCTGTGTCCGTATACAATCCCCCTGAGTGGTAGACGATCGCATAGCGCAGTAAGTCGCTCAATTGGGTGAACAAATGGGCTGCAAATTGAAATCGTAATTTTTCAATCACCGCACTTAGAAATTATTTGAATACAATTTTATTTTGAGCATCTGCAAAAACATTTGTACCGTATATAAACATATATGTCATATATGTTACAGATTTTTAAGAATAAATTTTATTTTGCCTTAATTATCTATTCGAATAACAATCAGTAGGGATTGAGAAGTGATCGAAAAATCGAGAAGAGAATTAAGTAAAACAGTAAATTAATAGAGGTCTGTTAACACAAATGTCTGCATGTGCAAGGAGTTAACAAGAATAGTCGCAGAGCGTCAAAAATAAACGATGGCAAAGATTAGCTTCTAATCAGAATATCAATTTTTTAGGATCTAGCGAGACAATTGATTGAGTTTAGGTTTTCCAATTTTTCCGGATATAATTTTCTTACTGTTAATGCACTTGGTGGCTGATGTATTTGTGCGGTGCAACTAAGAATGGTTATGAATGGGTTGCGTGCGCAAAGTGGTCATAAAAACGGGGAGAAAGAGAAATGAGAACAAAAAATTGAAAAAGGTGCTTGTCGCATAACTAGGTTGTTGTTATGTGCATATTGTTAGGTTGGGGCTGGTTGGGAGGAAGCGAAGGTACCCATCAGAGCTTTATAGGGTTTGTGCAGTGCAGATGAGTGCAGGGTTGTTTAAGCGGTTCATTATCAACATTGTCCAGCACTTTTATAATCAGTCGTCCTAAATCGCGAGTCCACCAGGAATTTGAAAGTAAGGGGAAAGCCAAGTAGAGTCATCATATCTCTATTAAATACGTTTCAGAAAAAACACTCCTTCATTAATTAAATAAAATTGTAGAAAACAAGTATAATCAAAAATGAAAACCTAAATAAACATCGAAAAAAATGTAAGCTTGGTAACGAGAAAATCACGTCAGAGCACGAAAACCTAAAGACTCACATGTACTGTAAAGTACTTGGAAAAATTCTTATCCTAATGCATCGCGCAAGCGCTTGCCAGCGTTATTTGACGGCAAGCTCGGCCGTGCCTACAAAATATCTGATGAATTATAATTCAGCATCTCATATTGTCATGTTGTTTATTTATTATGGGTTTAGAAGTTTGGAAGGGAATTAGTGTGACCGGCCTACAAATGTTGGCAGACAGCCTCACGACGATACCTTGGAACCCAGCAGGTGCTTGAAGCTTGAGCACGTCAGTGAACATCAGCATTTAGGCATTTATGGTTTTATTCAGTGCTGACGTTGGCCGAAATTTTTATCTTTGTGGGCCACTGGGGCAAAACCTTATATTTCGATTCGATAGTTTCTGAATTGGGCGGGAGACTAACGTCTGCACAAAGGTTGACCAGAGGAATTTAAAAGTTTGATCTCTGAATTTAATATCAGAGGGACTACTGTAACAATATTGCTAATATTATGACACACCCGTGTGTGAAGCATGGGAAGAAAGCGTCTTAAGCGCGTCGTCTGGAATAGTCAGCGAAACTTGACCAAGGGTTACTCTTCCGTCAATTAGCATGGTAACACTTATTGTCACTTTGACAAAGGCGGTGAACATAATGAGGCCTGTTATGGAATCAGGAGTGTGTGAATATCTACGTAGATGATGTAGTCGGTGAGTTGTGATATGTACGTATGTTGCTCCCATCGCGATGGGGCCTTGTAATCTGTCTGTGTAAAATTAAAGAGCACATCTGTGCAAATGCATGCGAACATGTGTGCGTAAAAATTGAGGTAGAGTTTACAAGGTAACTATCGATAAATTGAAATGTTAGCAGTGAAATATAATGTGTTCTTTTTTCTGCAGCCCTATGCACTTTAAATAAAAATCGTGAATAGGGTGCTGCTGCATATATCTACGATAAAGGGATCATTGACAATTATTATCGTGTCGTGGGTCTATGCTTGTAGGTGTTAGCGAGAAATCATATGTTGGTGTGCCAGTGGCCGACATATTATTATCGTATTTTTATTAAGGAATAGGAGATCAGTGTGACAGAAAATGTTTTGCGGTACATGATTTAGCCTTTTTGGTAGTAGGTGTTACAATGATTTATCTCTTCAAGGTTGAAAAATGTCATGAGGGATGATGTTGTTTGTGGTCAGGTTGAATTCTAACTTGCCGTGCCTCGAACATCCAGTTATATTTATTTTGTATACGACTTTCATGGGGAGTTTCAGACGGTAGGCTTTCTCTCCGCTCGACAATGAGTTGTGATACCAACACAGCCATGGTTCTTCTTGTATGAATTTTCTCAGTTTTGTGTTTGTGTGAAGGAAGTCTGTTTGATACAGGCGTTCAATGTTGCAGTTCTTGTATGGGTTATTATGATGTGTTATGTTCCTGTTATATATGTGTTCCTGTATATTGTGCATTTATTAGGTGGGAAAGTTTCCTTTTCTTATTCTTTTTTGAGACCATAAATATCCCGCCAATGCCTCATGAAAATATTAATGTAATCCAGAGTATCGCACTGCGTGTTTTTGTGTTGTATGTATGGAAGTTTGTTTGTTGTTTGATTCTAATTTTTTTATGGAGGACCACAAAATTTGGAGATTATATATAGTTTGTATTTCTTTGGTGTTTTTTTGCACACAAAATTTGGAGATTAAATTTAGTTTGTATTTCTTTGGTGTTTTTTTGCAGTTCCTCCCATTTCAGTCTGGTTTTAATATACGGTGTTTAGTTTACTAGCGTTAGAGATTTACCAACTTGAAATTCAAGTTTCGAAGGCTTCACACCACCCACTAACTTTGCCAAATATCGTAGACTCACGGGTGTTCCAGAAGTCGTCAGAACTAAGGAGCGCATGAGCAGCTGTGTTGCGCATGACTGTGCGTACGTTCACGTGCGCCACGCACAGACGAGGACAAATTTTCTGCAGACTCAGCAATCTTTGGGCAGACGAAGCATCGAGCGTCGCGCGCGTCACCAGAAACCAGACGTGAGCGTCGGAATTAACGGTGCACATGCTGAACGGTAAGAATAATTCATGAGATAAAATATATAATAAGTTTTGAAACAAGAACAAAACGAGTTTTCCAGATCAAAAATAGAGAAGTAATTACCTAGTAACATATTAACGTGTTTTTGAAAATTTTGAAACAACCGCGTAATTTTAAAAGAACGCTTAAAATACTTGGAAACTCGTGTATGTTTATTTCTCGATTCTAAAATCATTGAGTGTCTCAGTATCAGCAATTAATATACCTCTCAATTGAGCATAAAGTTTTATGTTTAATCTTCATCGCCATGGAGACTTCTATTTGGTAAATGTTTTGTGCCCACGGATCAGGAGCCACGTCCCTGGAAAAGATATGTAAATACTTTATTGACTTGAACTGCGAAAACTACTGGTGGTGTACATACTCTGTGGGTATTATTGTGCCAATATTGTAATAATAAATGCAATTTGTAGCTATCTAGATCGAGTAACCTACCGTCGAGAGTCGAAAACAACATTTTGACAGAGCAGCAACACATTTCAAATTCTGGGTGAAATTTTGAGAAACAAAAGAGATGAAGATAAATTATACTCGACAAACTTTGAAAAAAAAAGTCTTCAAATGCTTTGATTGACGAAATATAACATAGAACAATAATTATTACAAAAGACAATCAGGTCGATATTGACGCTGAGTCTCATTCATAACGAAATGAAGAAAAATAATAATAAGGAATAACTTAACTGAGCAAGCATAATGTCAGATATATTAACCAGTTTGTAATTTGTTTCTTTTCAATCTTCGTTTATCGATTGTCTTTCTATTTCATAACCATTTTATCCCAAAATGCCCGTCCTTTTTGGGTTGAATCATTACGCATCAGTCTTTTACTCGCATATTTTACGAGTAAAACACCCTAAATTTACTTTTTTAACGTCCAATTTAATCTTAAATGTTTCGTGTTCATTACTCGGATACGGTTATTATCGAGAATTTTTTAATCACGATCTATCATCATCGAGTGTTCATGTATGTTACAGTATATGACATCATCTACGGAAGTGTTATAAACTTATCTTTAATTTGGTTTATCAAAAAAAAACCGTAACTAAAGAAATTTGTCTGTCCTCAAATTTATCCTTAGTGATGAAAATTTATTTATTAATTTGATTTTTGTCAGTTTGCAAAACTTCTCTTGGGAGTTGACCAGTCGAATCTCATTTAATGAATTTCTTATGTCTTTAAAAATTGAGTTTGAGGTGACCTTCTGAGGAATCAACTTCTGGGATATCAAAGGATGCAACAAGTTACAATCGAGTCCAGTTCAATGTATTTTCAAGAGCGATACTATTTTAGTCAATGATCTGATGTTTAGAGCTCAATTCAAACATATTCTTCCGAATGAATATCTTTGTAGGACAGCTTGAAGTCGGTAAAACAAATGTGTCAGTGTGCCCAACTCGTAAGCCCCGCACCAAGTATAACGAGTGAATTTTGGCTACAACAGATAGATATCAACATGAATAAGGTGAACAGCCATCCCGGAGATTTGACTGGAAACCCAGTCGAGTTTTACGTTCCAATAGCAGCCGCCTCAGATTGCATACAGTCGGCTTGGAAGTGACTAAGGCGCCTATAGGCCACCTAACTGCATTCAGCGACTATTCACGAGCCGATTGCGGGAGTCGATTGCCCGATAGGCCGAATATACGAAATCAGACCGAAAAAACAGCTTGCCAGGCTTCTGGGGGGAAATGCTAGTATTTGAGCGAACCATTACCATCTCCCGCTCATCATATGTCGTCGATGTATGTACATGCGTCCGTTTGTCAAGGCATATGATGGAACGAAATGAGAATTTATTTTACCAATTTTTTATGCTTACGTGTTGCAAGATAATAATTTCAATAATTATAGGACAAAAATATCTGCATTTATTTGGCTATCTTTAAAAACCACAGGATGCTTGAAAGCATGGAAATATGATTAAGGGGAGCAGGAGCAGAAAAATACTTGATAAGTACGTGACAGTAAAAAAAATAATGCTTGTACCTTCAATTGATAAATTTCAAATTCTCGTCATAACATAAATAACTAATATGTAAGCTGTTAATTGGCAAAAAAGCAACAGATGAACGTTCGGTTTCGCATTCAGGGCCTACAAGTATTTTATTAAATGTTCAGGTCGTTCTGATTTGGGATGAAACTGCGTAATATTGTGATGACAGTCATTGCCTAATAACAGGCATTGAACAATGTACCTTAGAAATTTCAAGTTTTCAGGTGAGGTTCACAATTGCATCATATTGTGGTGCGGTTCATATAATTCCTTCAGTGAATTATGATCGTTTTATTCAATGGCGGTTCCTGGGCGTGAGTGTCATACATAACGGACATAACTCTGCTCAGACTCCTAACTACTTTTTGAACGAATTAAAAAAAGTTTAGTCATTAGTTCAAACAACCTCGATGACAAAACCTGGTCAATGCTTTACGGTTCTTGTTCCTTGTAGTTACTTTATCATGTTTGCAGGGCAAAATTTGTTGCTAGCCTCGCTAAATTTTCAAATATTATTCCTGTTTAACGTGATGCAGCTTGAGGGAGTGAGTGACTAGCGTCTTACAAGACTCTGTACGTTTCGTTTGCTTTATACCGACGCCAGGCGTTAGTTCGCAAATGGCACTAGTGATGACCACACGTTAATCGGCGAACGTTGCTTATTTCAATCCTGTAATCGTAGTGGGAAAAGTGAACTTGTGAAGTATTAGATTTGAAAATTATAGATTTCAAAAGCTGAACATTATTATTTTATTTTAGAAACTAGAAATGTATTCGTTTTCCTGTACAATGGTTCTGCAAGTGAATGTCATTGAAAAACGCTTCACCGACGCGAATATAGTGGCGCCATGATGCCGGCAACCGGCATTCTACTTCGCTTCAAAGAGTTTGGAACTGGGCCTCAACTGGCAGTAATGGACATTTTTAACTCGAGGTATATGCTGCCATGATCAAGATATTTTAGCTGCTCGTGTCCATATACTTCAGGTTTTAATTTCTAATTCATCGGAAAGACTGGCTGTGTGTGGAAATGCCAGTTCACTCAAGAGTTCAACTGCGTCAGGTTGAGTTTAGTCTTCAAGCAGTCACCGTGCCGTGTTTAGTCAAGCAGTCACCGTGCCGCTGCAACAGAAACGCGAACAAATAAGGATAGAAATCCTAGTCTCAACTTCGTAACTAAACACGTTGCTGGTTAATGGCGCAGGGACCCCGAAAGAATTTCGAAGAAACACTTAGATTCAGATCCGCATTCAGATTTTGATTTTGACTTTACGTCCTTGTACAATGTTAAGAAAGTGACAAGTTCCTACTGGAATTTCGACGGTAGCATTTGATCTATTCTTCTTCACAACCACTGTAGGAAGAATTTTATAGACTCGTGCAAATCAGTTCGATAGACCAACTGGTACGGGAGAATGTGTTAAAATGTTTCGTACATGGATAATGTGGGATAATATTGAGAAGTGTTGAATATTGGAGAATGTTGATCGTTGAGTGCTATTGCATGTTGGAGAATGCTGATCGTTAAGTGCTCTTGCATATTGAAGAATGTTTGGTATTGGGCAATGTGTGAGAATGCTGATTGCTGACTGCTGGTGGATATTGAAGATTGTTTTGCTAGGGCAATGTGCGAGGGTCTTGCAATTCTGGCAAATATTAGAGAATGTTATGGGTAATGTGGAAAGTTGGGGTTGAAAGTTGTACTAACTGATATTATTCCCGTTTCAAACTCGTGTTTACTTTCCACTTGCTTCATTGTGCCGCGATGATACATGTCTAGCCTGCTATACATAGAGAGAGTACAGCGATTCAAATGCCCCTCCCTTCCCCCGTAAAGGGGGAAGGGAAGGGGCATTTATTAACGCATCTTTAAGATTCGGCCGTGTCTGTCCCGAACGTATCAGGTATCAAATACGCGCGCCCAGCAGTCGCCCCACGGTTGTCAATGAATAAACCGCATTCTAATCAGATACTTATTTACCTCGTACAACCAGAACCTAAAGCGGACATAGAGCAGCTAATTTACGAGCTAGGCGAGCTTGAGGCGTCCTTGAGCCAGCGGCTGACAGGAATCAAAACTTTGATAGGGAAGATAACAAATTTGCATTCAATTTTAGACTTCGAGTACAGTCATTGAGCGAGGGTACCGAGGAAGTACACGAGGATTCTTCCAGCTAACTAATCTCTACTCTCTTAAGATGCAAAATTAAACGATTTCCAGTTGCCGGACATGAAATTTTGAATTCGATCTTCATGATCTCTTGCGACAAGATACAGTAAGTACACCAGCCTTAGCTAATTTTACCAGTATATTAAATGAAAATAATGATGATATTCCAAGCTTATCTACAAAAACACCTTCAAGAAAAAGAAGTCATTTACTCCGGTTCGAATTCGGAGCATGTGTCTGCTCCTATTGAACAAACACAGCAGAACAGCGCAAGCTTGGGTATTCTTACACATACCACCAGCTTTGCTGCAGAAATTAAAACGACAGTGCCGGAAGCGGTCGATTTCTAGCATGAACTGAATTTGTCCTATATGTCTGCGACGCGAATGGTCCATGCCTGCTCCTGCAATGCATCTGTATATATAGTAGGCCTTGTGTGGCGCCGGCACGGATTACGCCCTGCTTCAAATATGAACTATGTTTAAAGCTAGAAAAAACTTTCGCAATTCACGATATAATCTGCCAAATAATGTGATAGTATCAATTACTTGTACAAATGAGGAAGAGACCGAAGCTGGGGGTCGTTGACCCCCGGGTGGCATCCAAGCTTGGGGGGCGTCGTGGGCGCTGTATCGGCCACGGCGCCGTAACCGTAGGCTTCTCTCCGCCTCCTTATTTCTTCAGTTGGCACCTGAACCTCTGGGGAAATGTCAATATTCGCACATCAGACAATTATAATAATAAAATTGCATTTCATAATGAACAAATATTAAATTTTCTTTATATATGGATTTATAAGTTGCACGTTGGTTGCTTTATTATATTTTATTCATATTGCATCACATAAAACGTACATAATACTTATGTTGAATTTTAACAAGTACCCAGATAATGGGAGTACGCGAGTGCCAGGACAATGCCGGACATGATCGCAATCAGCAGCGATGAGTTCACTGAAAATTTAAATAAATAAAATAATAATTGTCAAGTAAGTAAATCAAAGGATTTTACTTAAAGTATTTTAATTGTAATTTTTCCAAAAGAATCCTTAATTGCTTGACTGAAACAATGACATTTTCAATGCACAATGACTGAACAGGGCACGGCAACATCAGGTCGTATACAATAAACACTCAATACCAACACAATACTAAGCCAGTCTTCAAAATATTCATGCACATCAGCATTTAGCAGGCAACTTCACTCACAGCGCACATAACTCCAAATCACTTACCTGCACCTCTATTCAAAACCACACCGAGTTTTCAAATGCTCCGGGATATCCATTAATTTCCCTACCTCCAGTCATCTACAAAATACCACAAGTCACCACTACAACCTTACTAAGGTATTCATTCTAAAGGCAACTGACCGACCAGACTAGAGCAATTAATTACCTACTACACAACCTCAAGCAAGACCGAAGTTGATTTTCAATATTTTCAATCTTGAGCGACTCTCTCATTCCGTCTCTTGTATCGTGGCATTACGTCATCAACATTCTCACTAACGTTTATGTCATAAAAATAGTAATAAAAGTCCCAAATAATAAAAGCGATAGGTATTAGAGAGAAAAAATCAACAAAGAAACTAATTATAGAAACGAATTGAAATATACATAAAATATTGATAAAAATTCAACCTAATTGTTAAATAAATGACAATGTAGTTACATCAATACTGTTTAACCGCTTCTCATACTACATTATTTTACAACGTTATAATCGTAGTGAGTGTAGGTGAACTTGCATCTAGGTAATACGACAAGGGTTGAACCATACAAATGCAAACCCCTTCCATTTCATTTATACTGTTTTCCGCGTTGCTTTACTTGCCTCCCTGGGCTACCTTCTTTTGCAACACTTCCTTGTGACAGTGGCACCGCCATCATTAGATAAACCTAACCACAGAATCTGAACTGAAAATTAATTATATTCCATGAGATTCCTTCAGGAAAATAAAATATTGAATGAAATTCCTCATATCTTACAACTGACAAAAACTACGCTGTGTGCAGTCTACGTATCATACTTATACCATGTGAACAACAAATGCCCCGCCGAATCGAAACAAGAATGTGTTACCACAAATTAACATTATGCTAATTAGCTGAGTGCAGTTACGAGGGAATAAACGTAGATACAAATGAATGAATGAGTGCTTCTTACCTTCAGGCTGTTTTGTTCGCTTGAATTCTTCCATCGCGTCTCGCGGCTGATGCCGAGCAGAAATGTAGCTGACGGGTCCGAAGCGAAGGTTCCTAATCTTGAAGCGTTTCTATTGTCTCTGCCTAACAGCGTCTGTGTGCGCTTTGTGTAAAGCGATCAAGCCAGGTTTTCTTTTTAAAATTAATATTATGTCATTAAAAATACGTATTACTAGAGAATTTAGTAATTCATTTTCACCTGAAATATAAGAAGTACGAAATAATACCGAAAAAATTACAGTTTAAATTTTCAGTGGTAATAAATCCTTTACGGTGGTCAACCATGGGCCCCTCGCAGCTGCTAGGAATGATCTGCGTTTTACTGTTATTTTAAATTGGAATTAAATACTTGCACTTAGTGACTCACATATGCGCTACAATCAGAAGCAGAAATGATCATTTCATCTTTCGTTGTTACATATTTCGAACTAAAGACGACCGCCGGACAGTTACGATAGGGCGAATTCCCGTTGATGTGCAATTAAGCATAACAACCTTATGACTGGATTGTTTTCTTCTAAATTCAACTGTTTCAATGTTAAACGCACACGACCTCAATCTTTTAAATAGTCGCTAGTGGGCACAAAAATTATTTATACTGTTGCTATTATTTTTTACTTAATATTTGTACGTAATTATTGTTTGAAAATTCGTGGAATTTCATCAATGAAACTATTTGAAATCTGAGCCAATTAGTCAACAATAATTTTCGAAGGAAAAAACCGCACTATAATAAATAATTTATTTTCAATTGATTACAAGGGATTTTTGAGGTATTGTTCGTATTTTAAAGTATCATTGTATAATCAGCATTGTGCTCGGAGCGACTTTTTCGACTAACGGATGCCGACATTGTTGCTTTAATTTTTTAGTTTGTTCTTGCTTTATCTGAAAAGTTTTAACGACTTTACTTGTTAACCATAATTAACTATAAGGCTGCTATCCACTAATAAACCGTTATCAATTTTTTAAGTACTAACAGGTGCACTGCATATTACGCTGTTGAACAGGAAAAACGAATAAGAATAATTGCAACAAGCCTTGCTTAAGTACAATAAACTGCAGTTCATCAATATGTTGACGAAGTGCGGGTAACTGTCAACGTAGATGTACTCCTTCAAGTGTACTATTAACCGGAACTGCTTTACTGCTATCAAATTCTCAAAAGTTAAGAGCTGTTATGAGCAGAAATGATGTACTGGAGTATCATCTCGAAGTACCATATCAAGTGCACGACCGAATCGTCGATTGAAGAAAACAGGCATTATGTTAACATACATAGCAAAAAAACGAATTATTCCCTCTATGATCTCTTTCCATCAAATTATCGAGAATTGTGGGAATTTTTATAGATGCATCCATGCACTATCATAACTAACGATAAGTATTTTGAACGAGATTTCCCAATTATATAGTTAAAAATAATCAATTCACATGGATTTTCTGAATATTACTAACCAAAGATTGTATTTTCTATCCTTTTACTTTTGACATCGTAATTTCGGATTGCAATCGAACTCCCAAAACGCTTGTTTTCCTATGTAATATTTCAAATATCCACAGCTCGACAAATCGGCTGGCGGTACAAAACAATTATGCAGTAGAAAACTATGCTCTAGATTGAGATAACTACGCATAACGCTTCTCAAACCTTCATATCAATGTTGTTTAAAGATAAAGTTTAAGATATCAATGTTGTTTAAGTTGACGCATCACAATGTGGAGAGAAAGCTAAAGTTATAGAACAATTAGGTTATACTTTCTCAAATGATGATTAATTAAACTTAACTTAATTTCCTAAATACCACCGAAATCTTAATGAATATGCAGAATGGTTGTAATCATCAAGAGTTTTTCTTGGCGCTGATATCCGCTGCATCGAGGCTGGTGCTTCTGAAGGCTATGGCTTTGTAAGTCAAATTTCTGAGGCCTGGAAAATAACATTTTCCAATTAAAATTTCGTGTCACATGAAATGTTTGTTTTGATCACTCTTCAATTCTTGAAAGAATTTTATAAAGACCACAATATTTTAGTAATTATTTCTCCGTGTTCAAAAATTTATAATGCAGGCTTTAACGCATCTGGTTTCATGAGAGAATTTCATGCGGGGAAATAGTGCTTGATGTATTTGTATTCAAAGGATTGGAGGTTTAATGTTGTAAGAAGCCTATATTTCATTCCAATTTTCTACATTGAAGCAAAGCAAAGAAAAAGAGCAATCAGTTTTGTTGAGTGCGCCTCGGATTGCGAGGAGATTTATTTATTAATTTTTTTAATTTTTACATTGTGGTTTTGAGGTCTTCCCGTGAAATTTTGAGAAAGCTTTTCGCTTTATTTCATCATATACTTCAAGTGAGGAAAAAGCGCAGTCTATTCCAAATAAAATAGATAACAAGAGGCTAAATACGCAAGTTAGGCTATAATGCATGGTAATTTGAATTAAGTTCTTCGTAATCGGTTGGCTTGTTTGTACGATCCTAAGAATGTGAACAATTGCAGTCACGAAAACTCTCATATGGCATTGAATCTCTTGTGTAGATGAGAAATACAACACGGATAAGTTTTTGACTCTAGGACACGAGTATAACGACAGAGTCAATAATATACGTTTAAAAATTACTTTTTAAAGCCAACACTTCTAAAGAATCCAGTGTCTCCAATGTTAAAGATGTACAATGAATTTCTCATTTTATTTTCGAAAATTAAAAAAATTAATTTTTCAAAATTTTTTAATATATAAAATTTTTTCAAAATTATTTATTCTGTCAGTTGATTCATGCATTGCCTCCGACTTCACTCAAGTATGCAAAATTTCAGATCAATTGGACAGGTGGAAGTGTGTCAAATATCATTTATAAGATTTGTAGCTGACAAAATTATTTTGTCAATTTTTTTAATATTGAAAAAAATTTTAATTTTCAAAATTATTTATTCTGTCAATTGATTCATGCATTGTCTCCAACTTTACGCAAGTGTGCAAATTTTCAGATCGATTGGACAGATAGAAAAGTGTTAAATATCGATTATAAGATTTGTGGCAGACAAACAAACAAACAACTTAAAAAAGTTAGTGTTGTTGTTGTTAACAGCTTGAAGGTGAGGAAGTAGCTGCCTGATGAAAACAACTTAAGAAGTGAAGTTAAAGAGAAGTGTTGTAAAAATAGAATTTAATACTAATAATGAATCCGTTATTTTTTCTGATCTGATTACATTCGAGGTACCTAATCAAGGATCAAATTGACATAAGGTTGAAGAATCGCGACCTTATAGTTATGTTCTCTAGAAGCAGAAGTTACACGGCGACTATATGAGTCCCGACATTTTAATAGCTGGCAAGCATCGTCTGTAAACTCGATATTTTTCTTTGCATACGTCTAGTTTATGCATTAACGAAAGCCTGTTCACACGTTAGCACTTTCGAAAGATCTGCATTTAGGATATTATTCTATATTGAGCGACCCACCTTTTATTCCTGAGTTGACCAGTTGGAAGAATGAATACGCGCAATATTGGGTGAGCGTCGTCATCGACAGAAACATTGCAAATCGTCGAACGGACATAAACTGGAATTCATGTATTGAGAAGTGTTGACTGCAAGACGTTCGTGAAAACGCCCTGATGAAATATAATGAAACCTCCATCAATTACCCCCTACAACAAAAAACTTTTGGTGATATTTTTTGGGACGTTCAAGCAAACTCAGAGAGATTAATTGAATGAAGAGCTGTAACTGCAAAGAAAAGTATGGAAGGGAAGGTTTACAGAAACCTACCAGGCCAGGTATGAGTAGTAGATGACAGTGCTGGAAACGAATCCAATCCACTTTGGAGGAAATGGCCGTGGGAAAAGCGTAACTTCAGCTGCCACTGCCACTAGTGGAACAGTGTGGACGCTGTGGAACTTGAAGTCTGAGACGACATCCCCGAAAACTTCAGGGTAAATTATTTCACGAGAAGCCGAATACATGACCCAGAACGGTATAAACAAGCTCTGAAAAGCAGAAAAAAAGGGAAATGTGATTCAATAAAAAAATTTTGTGTTCTGTGACACAACCTATCCATCACAAACGATTGTTTAAGTTGACGCATCACAATGTGGTGAGGAAGCTAAAGCTGCCCTGCATTATATAAGTGCCATTTTTGCCATTATATAAGTGCCATTTTTGGAAGGCACTTATATTCCTTTTTTCAACAGATTAATCTGGAAGAAAAAAGAAAATAAACTGCAATCATTGAGAAGAAGAAAATGCTCAGTATTGTAAGAGGTTGCTTTTCTGTCGCACCTCTTATATGTACAATAATTATATGTAAAACCTGAGGTTTGATTCGAGTTAGTTCGTGATGAGAGGATAAATGAGGCACAGACTGAAGATTAATCGAGTACTTATTTAAATAGTTACACGGCTTACAGTTCATGGGATTATAGGTAGATTGGAGTATGAGGTTAACACACTACGCACACGACTCGAAAGTGAGTGAGTCGATCGTTTACTCGGCAGTTCTCGGTTCTGATTTACGCTTTTCACTCTGTCAGAGAACTATATTCAGTTCGCCGCCGGATAACATCGCTACCGGTATAAATAAAGGAATGAACCTAAACCAGGAATTGTTCATGAACATATCGCAATTCGAATGCGGAAGTTACTGGAATGCGGTAGCTTTTGGAACCAACTGATTATGAATAGCACTTGTCAATTCAACACCAAACGTATAGAGATAAGAAATTTTTCATCATGTTGTTAACGAGCATAGATTAAGAATTACCTTAGTGAATTTTTTCAATTGAATTATAAATGGAATTGAAAAATATAATTAAAAAATTCGTTAGCAGAATATCTCTGTAGATGGTACTTTTTGGGCAAAGAATTGCGATTTGGTTTTACAATCGGCAAGACACAAGGGAATTCTTGATACGCTGTGCAGGAAATTTGATGCACATTTTTCATACAACTAGATTGAAAATAACTTGATTATTTACATTTAAAAACTTGAAATAGAATACTTATACAATCACCGCATTCTCAATCTCATTAATGTCACTCGTATGCTTGAATCGCAAATTCAAGAAAAAAATATTTCATAAAAATTTATCATATCTTCATAGAAAAGTTTCGGTGTCCAGCTGCATTGTCAGTTAAAAAATTCTAGAATGCACATACAATTAGTAGTTGGTACAGTCTAAATAAAAGTAATAAAACATAAATTTACAAATCAATGGCAGAGCAAATAATACAAATAAATGGCTAAACCTATCTATTTGCAATTCCACGTAGATAAAAGCCACCTGACACCTAGACGTGGCTCTTTTGAGGACCAAGTTCATCCGACATTTTGAAATCACAGTTTTAAAACATGTTATAAACAATGAAAACGTGACATATTTATATGTTTCATTGATTTTGTAGCTGCCAATTGATATTTTATCTTTGCGCAGATATTTTTAGTAAATTTTTGTGAATATAACGGACCCAATATAGAACCTATAAATGGCAAACCTCTCTGACTTTCAAAGAGGTCAAATTGTTGGAGCCCGTTTGCCAGGTGCTAGAGTGAAAGAAACTTCCCGAATGCTTAAAGTTTCTAACGGTACTGTCTCATGTAATGACTGCTGTTGAAAGAGAAGGAAAAACGTCCTCAGCAAAGCACTGGTCTGGCCGAAAGTCAAAGATGTCTGAGAGAGACCGTCGGTACCTAAATCGAATTGTGAGGGACAATCGAAAAACCACGGCTGTAAAAATTCCTGCAGACCTCAATGGACACCTACAGAATCCAGTTTCCATAAAGACTGTCCACCGAGAACTGCACAGATGTGGATTCTATGGAAAATCCACAATTAGAAATCCTCTGGTTTCAAATAAAAATGCTTCAAAGCGTTTAGAGTGGTGTTAAAAACTCTAGAAACCTCGAACAGTGGAGTTTTCGAAACTTGAAACTGCCTCGAACAGGGGTAAAATGTGATTTTCTCTGACGAATCATCGTTTACTTTATTTCCAACCTCTGCCCGAGTTTACGTTTAGAGACAGCAAATTAAAGAGTCATTTAATTCCAATTGCCTACTCCCCACCGTAAAAATCCGGCGGACCAATGATCTCTCTTTATGGAACAATCAACAGTCGTGACTATTCAGAAATTTTCGAGGACCAAGTTCATCCAATGTTTCAAGCACTGTTTCCGGAGGGGAACGCCATCTTTCAACATGATAATGCTCTTTTCCATTTTGCTGGAATTGTTAAAAAATGGCACGAGGAACATTCTGATGAATTTTGGCATCTCATTTGGCAACCACATACACTAGGCCTGAATAATATTGAGCATTCATAGTTGATTTTAGAGATGCAAGTCAGAAGTAGATTCCCGACGCTATCGTCTTTAAAAAAGCGGGAAGGAGTTTTAATTGAAGAATGGGTTAATTTCATTTGGAAACAATTCACAACATGTATAAGTCAATACCTCGGATAATTGAGGCTGTAACTGCCGCAAAAGGTGGACCTACACCATACTAAAATGTATTTTGTGGATTTTTAGAAGTGTTTCCTTTATATGTCGAACTCCTGTACAATTACTCTAAGATGCGAAAATCTGGAGCATTGGAAGTGGAAACTGAAGCCTTGAAGCCACTATATCAGATATTGGAACGTTACACGGCTCGGCGTGAGTGCGCACAGCCAAATTTAAGGGCACGATAATAAGTGTGCTCTGCGACTCTGGAATAAAGATTTCGTGACGACATCCCAACCTATATACGCGGATGCACATCGTTCACAACTGTATTTATAGACTAGAGACATCGCATAAGAATGGGGAGAGTGTCATTGTACCTAAAAAAGAACAGGCTTAAAATTTCTTCAACAAAACATTAAGATTAACATTTGTGAAGTATTTCAGGAGCAGAAGTTTTAACTCTCGTGACATACTTTCGGGTGCAGAGCGGAACAATGGAATAGAAACAACGTTCCTACTATCGCGCTCGGGGATCAACTTACCTGTTTCGCATGAAATTTCTTTATATCGTTTGGAATTTGCAAGCGAGAATACATCGCTCAAAAATTAAAATTCCGTGTCTATAGCATAGTATATCGAAGAAATACGAATGCCTCGGTGTAATGGTGTTCGAAGCCAATGACCCTTGAATCGAAATGAATTTATTGTATCTGCATTCTAGAATTTTGGAACCGACGATGGAGCTGTAATCGGAAAAGATTTCTATGAAGATATGTTGATTCGGCATTCAAATTTCAACCTAATCTCCATTATATTGTAGTCTTCGACTCTCTTGATCAATGCATAAATTTGGTGTAAAAATTTAGCTAGTTAAAGTAGACGAAAGTTTCTCTGCACCAGTTTGGACAATTAATTTCAGTGGGAGAATATTTTAATGTACACATTTTATTCATCTTTTTGCCCGTTATGCCAGTTGGCACGTTGTGCAGCAACATTTTGGCAGTGCTGATTGTTTAATAACAAGATTTGACTTTCGTTATTCCAGCTGTTAAAACGGATTTAATATCACATAAAACGGATTTTTATGTGATAAAAATTGTGATTTTGGTTCAATCCAGCGAACGGACATTTAGTATTTAGTAATTCATATTCTATAATTGAGATTATACTTGCCTTCAAGCGTCTCGTCAGCCGAGGTCTGATAGATGACAATAGATATTGAATAGCAAATAAAATATAGCTAGATATTGAGTAGCAAATAAAGAGCAAATGAATATTGAATACCAAATGGGAAAAATTGTCACTACCCCAAATCGTTTCAGGTGCGAGCTTTGTTAAACCGGTATGTATTAGAATGGAATAGAATAAAAGTGTCGGCACTGAAGAAATAGGCCCATTGGATTAAAGTATGAATGGGCTTCCGTATTCAACATCTACTTTTCTTGCATAACGGTAAACAGAATAGAGAATACCAAAAAGTGACCTCAGATGAACCTGAACGTTCTTTAACGTCAGGTAACTCAGGTGCAACACCTGTCAATGTTCACGCAAAATGTTCTGCAAATGTTAACGCAAGGAAATCTAATTATTTGTGTTTTGAAATTTTCAACAGCAATTGAATAAAATCACAATATACATGTTTTTAAATTTTATGTATAACGATAATAACAGTCACTTTCGGGCCATATGACTTCGTGACTGCATTTCGATTCATGCATTAGAATTTATCGATCGCATCTGTTTGTAAATCAGAAATCATATTATTGAATTATCATTTCAATTATATTATAAACTATTTTTCGGGACCTCAACTATTTACGACGATGCCATTAAACTTCATTGCCATGAACATTCGATGCCATCATAATGGTGCGATATGCTTAATTGTTGACGGTATAAATATTTGCCTGTTAAATCTGGTTTCTATTTTTCGTGACACAAGCTATGGAAAAATAAATCATTAATGACTATGGAATGTTTGGCCAGATCACATGAGTCAAGGCCTCAAGCAGCAATGGACATTTTATGGGGCATGACCACGGCATTGAGCGGCAGTGGGGATTTGATGGGGCACCACTCACGACATCAAGCAGCCACGACATTTTGATGGGGAATGACTCATGGCATTGAGCAACAATGCATGTGGATTTAATGAGCATATTACTCACGGCATTGAACAACAACGGCATTGAACACTCACGGTATTGAACAACATTTGACTCACGGCATTGAACAGCAACGGCGATTTGATGGGGTAGTAAACGGACGATTGATCGACAGCGCCGTGCTTAGGGGAGACCTTCTGATGGCTGAGATGAAAGCAGCAAATGCCGATGGCGTAAACGATAACGAACGCCGCTTGAGTGAAGAGTATGAAGAGGTTTTGCATTTTTACTACCTAACTATAGAAATGAAACAAAATTTCAAAACACGAACTAGTACCTCGAGGAAAAGTGAATTAGTGACCGAAAAATGAAAACGTATCAAAATGTATAAGGAAATGTAAATTTTGTTATATGTTTCAATGGTAAAAATTTCGAAATAATTTTCTGAT